TTAGTAAAGTAAAGCAGAAAATGTGTATACTGAGAAAGCAGAGAGGCCAGAGCTCCGAGTGTTCTTACCTTGTGCTGAAGACCCCAGATGAGCCCCCAAGATGAAAGGTTGTTGCTGAGCTGTGAAAGACGCCAGGATTCTTGGCCTCCAGAAGAGAGGAGTTCAATCCAGGGCAAGTGACGAGGCTTGGTCGCTCAGAGCTTTTCTGTAATAAAGTTTTATTAAAGTATAAAAGAGATGGAGAAAGCTTCTGACATAGACATCAGAAGGGGTCAGAAAGAGTGCCCCCTGCTAGTTTTTAGCCAGGTGCCTTATGTCTGTTAGGGAGCTATTAATCAGATAAGAGAGACACCTCAAGGCTGAGGGGGTTTCGCCAGGCCCCTCTCCCACAATATGCATTTTTGAGATAGGATGGCAAGGGGTGTGTCATCCCCTGGCCATAAAACAATTGATATGAATACTGGTTTGTTGAGTTATTATGAGCCCAAGGTTTGAGAGAAAAGAAAAAAAGGTTAGTCTTAAATGGAACCATTTTGAAGAAAGGCAAATTCCAAAGCAAATACATAATACATTAGCATAGCTTAAGAAAAGCATAAGAAAAACACATTGGTAGTCTCAGGGTTTGAAAAAAGTTAAGTTCAGGTGGAACCAGGTATTGTCATGGCAACACAGAATTTTAAGAGAAAAGTATCCGACACTTGCAGCCTATTTCCTCCATTTGGAGACCCCTGGCCTTCCTGCCTGTTACCCTTTCACTACTGATGGTCTGCCAATGTATTTTTGGAGATACTAGAGGATATATTTCCTCAGAAAGAATCCATATATTATGTTTGAGAAAACCTACTATGTAAACATGCAAGATTTTATTTTTTTTTTTCTGTTACTTTGGTATGACAAAAACAAACAAAAACCACACTTTTAGGCTTGTGATGTTGAGGGAATCGTTCTCTCTTCTAAACTCAGTTTCATCATTCAGGTAGCCCATGGGACTATAAGATAAGGGAATACAGTATCTGAAGTGTTTGTAAAGTGTTATACTAAAGTAATGCTAGTGGCGGTTGTGTTTTCTCTCAAGCAAAAGTAGAGCTGGGAGACTCGGAAAGTATCTTGGGTGTTATATAAAGTCTGACTTACTCACCTATAGAATAGTTCCTGACTTGTAAGTTTATTGTCAAGAAAAAAAGTGGGCTAATGCCCACGAAAGAGTAACAATAGTGCCTGGCACATACAAATTATAGGTATTAGTCATTTCATTCTTAATATTAGAATATATATGTGTATTTAACTGTACTTATGTCATCTGCAGTTAAACTATGCATGAGTTATCATTCTGCACAAAAATTTTAATTCTTCATGAAAACTTTAAAGATATGATACTGTCCCTTGTGATGCCCCATATATGAATCTTAAGTTGACTGAATATTAACTTATGCATGAAAGGTTTTATGAAAGTCAATTCAAGCCTTCAGGAGTAGTAAAGCAATTCTAAGTTAACTAGAGGCATATCAATTTAGTTGCCAGAACCAGGGTAAGTTACTTTTCAAGGACCCACTGTGCTGTAGCAGACAATAAGGCATGTCAGGAAAGACTGCTGCCCTTCCCTTTGACAGAATCACAGTGGGCAGCAGCTGAAAGGTCGTGCACCAACACTGCCTTGTAGTGTTTGACTTAGGGAAGTGGAAACTTCTGGTGGGTAACAGTAGGGAATTATCAAATCTAAAAAGTGCTTCTCATGATACTTTCCTTTCTCTACCCCAAATGGTGGCTTCCTACTACTTACTTATAAAATCTAATTCATCCTGACTGAGCCTTAATGTATACATATTCATTTCTCTCTTTCCTCTTTCATAGAATGCATCTTTCCTTGTAAGTCTGTTATTTACAAAATTTGGTTTATATGTGCACTAATATGTAGTTTAGTTCTGTGAATAATAACATCAATAAAATGTAAGAACAGTAATATAATTAGAAGCAACCTTTTGAAAGAAAGCACAGTAAAATATTTTTTCTGGATTATAGACTGAAAAATTGTAAAGTCAAATCATGCTATTTGGAGTAAAATTTTAAATTCTTCTTTAGTCCTATTGAATGAATATTGTTACCATCACAAATGCTTCTTGAGAGTCAGCTGTGCACTGTTAATGAGGTGCTTATAATGATTTTCTCATTTTATGCAGCTTCCTCCAGCTTTGCACCACAACTTGAAAAGAAGGATTATAGAGAGATTCAAGAAATCCCTCTTCAGCCAGCAGAGTAACCCTTGTAATTTGAAATCTGAAATTAAAAAGGTACAGTATTCTACATATAGGAATTCTTCTTTTACTAACAAAAACACATCATACAAATTAAATTTTATCCTCCCATGCTTGAATCCTCTATTAAACTCTGTCCTTTACTAAAGCATGTTATCAATGTTTCTCGTAGCCCATTTGGGCAGCTATATTAAAAATACCAAAAACTGTGAGTTTATAAGCAGCAGGAATTTATTGCTCACAGTTCTGGAAGCTGGAGTCCAAGATCGGGGTGCCAGAATAGCCGAGTCTAGTAACCTCCTCCAGGTTTCAGACTGCCAACTTCTTGCTATATCCTTACATGGCAGAGGGAGGCAAGGGAGCTCTTCCAGGCCTCTTTTATTAAAGGGTACTTTTAATAAGAACACTTATATAAGGGCTTTCTTTTTGTGGCCTAATTACTTCCCAAAGGTCCCATCTCGGGGATTAATTTCAATATACACATTTGTGAGAACATGGGCACTGAGGCCATAGCATACTTAAGATACTAAATCAAGAATGTGTCTTTTCCTCTAGTTTTCACACCTGTGTTTTTGAAGCTATCAACCTTAGAAGACTAATAGGAAATTCTTTCAGTATTATTGTATGTTTCCTAAGAAGAAATGTTATTAAATATCTTTAATATATACAAATATATATGTCTTTTTAGAGAATTCTATTCCAATCTTTTTTGGAATATTCTTCACTAAGCCAGTAAATTGAAGTTTGCAACCCTGAACAAGTCACTTAAGCATCTGAGGTCATAATCTTTATCACTTAAGAAGGTGGAATGAACCATTTCTTAAAGTTCTTTTCGTATTTGACATTAGAGAGCCTCCTAGACTTTGGGTGCTGGTAAATATTTCTATTCTTATATAATAAAACTAAATTGCAAAGAGGTTAAATCAACCCCAGATGGAAAGAAAACTGTTTATTTCTGATTAATACAACTTGGCAAAAGGCTATGCTTTTGACCTTGTTGGTAGCCATTCTGATACAGGCCTTGGAGATGGTCACAGGTTCCATTCTTCTGTCCCAGAGAGACACAGGCCAAACAGTTTGGGCCCACTGGTGTAAAGATGCTTGATTCTGTTCTAATTTTGTGTGTTTTTTAAAAGTTTCAGCACATACTGGTGCTGAAGCTAAAGTTCCAATACATTGGCAACCTGATGCAAAAGCCAATTCACTGGGAAAGACTCTGATGCTGGGAAAGATTGAGGGCAAGAGAAGGTGGCAACAGAGGATGATATGGTTGGATGGCATCACTGGTCATGAGTTTGAGCAGACTTAGGGAGATAGTGAAGGACAGGGAAGCTTGGCATGCTGCAGTTCATGGGGTCACAAAGAGTCAGACACAACTTAGTGACTGAACAACAACAGAATATATGTAAACTTTGGCTCAGGCATGCTGCCAATGAACTTTTTATTTAAGGTTTATTTGAAATATTTACTGTGTCCACTCTGTATCATACATCAACTCATAATATGGGCAGTGTTGGAGTATGGAGGGAACCAAAAGTGCCCACTGAACTGAGAAGGCATCTTGAGACAGATAAACAAGGCAGGCAATTCTGTATAATCAAGTTTGTTCCAGTGTGACTTACAGGGTGAAGTTCCCTGGTGTTTCAGTGGTAAAGAATCTGCCTGCCAATACAGGAGACATGGGTTTGATGCCTGGGTCATAAAGATCCCCTGAAGAGGGAAATGGCAACCCACTCCAGTTTCTTGCCTGGGAAATCCCATGGACAGAGGCATCCCATTTCCAGTGAGTTGCAAAAGAGTCCAACATGACTTAGTGATTGAACAACAGCAAACTTACAAGGTGGGATGGGGATCAGGTGGACAATGACCCAGAAGCATTTGCAGCTGCTCCCCACACCTTCAAGGAGCCACTGGGATGGTTTTATAGTTAACTTAGGGTGTGGGGGTTGGTGCTCAGAAACAGGACGTCCCTTCCTAAGTCAAGTTTATGAACTGATAACTGGTCTCATGGCCACCAGGATTATCTCAGCCAACATCTTAAACATTGTCTTTGGGGACTAACAGAGCATGGAGGCCACCTGGTCATGATGATTATTAAAAAACTTCTCTTAACTACTAAGGCCCTGACAACAGAGATGTGACTTACTGGCCAGTACAGTCCTGGGTGAGGTCAGGGGAAGGACAGGAGGAGCCACACGGGCCCAAGGTGGTATCAGTTACCCTGACAGTCATATGGGCTGTTTGATAAGAAATACAAAATGTATGTTTTTGCTTTTTTGCCTTACATCAGTGGTATGTGCACATACACAAACAGGAGATGGGGAGAAAAATGCATATCTGCAGGTAAACAGACTATAAACCCTACCTCATCAGGTATTAGAGAGATCTTTTGAATTGTCTTGGCAAATAAGGCTGAGAAACAAAGGTAGGGAGATCAAAATAGAGGTAGAGGAGACTTCAGATATTTATTGTATGATATTCACATATTACATCATGAATACCAATAAATCGATTTATTTTGTCTCCTCTGGGTCAGCCTCTTGTTGCAGAGCACCAACTCTAGGGTGCATGGGCCTCAGTAGTTGCAGTGCACAGGCTCGGTAGCTGTGGCTCACAGGCTTTAGAGTGCAGACTCAGTAGCTGTGGCTCATGGTCTTAGCTGCTTCATGGCCTGTGGAATCTTCCCAGACCAGAGATCAAACCTGTGTCCCCTGCATTCCACTGCACCACCAGGGAAGACCACAATAGATAGATTTTTAAAAGATTAAAGTTCAAGTCCCCCATAAAACATTACATTTTACTAAGTTTTATGTTCTTATTAAAATGATGTTCAGAATAATCCAGTTTGTACACACGTTTACTTTGAGATCCTAGCTTCATGAGAGGAATGTGCCTGCTATGAAATGAGGCTTGAAGGTGCCGCAACCTATCCCTGCTCTGTGATCCCAGCAGGCCTGTCCTTAAAACAAATCACTGCTTCTTTGTGACTTGGGTTTTTAGTTTCGCATCCTTTCCTTGGTGTCTTTCTTTTTTCTCCTTTTCTTTTGTTAAGCCCCTACCCCCACCTTGTCTGCCTCCTCTGTGCCATCACAGCATGCCACCTTCTGTTCCTGTTCTGGGGCATGAGGGGACCAAAGAGGGGCATAGATTCATTGCTTTCAACTTTGTTAAGATGCAGGTTGAATTATCCCATGAAGAATGCTGCGCTCTCCTCATCTGATACTGTGTGTGTGGTGGTTCTTAGCCTTATGGTGTTTTGTACCCTTCCATCAGGCCTCCCCTCCCATGAGATAAAGAAATCCTACACCTGAGATATTAACCAGCTTCTCTATTAACACCTTTCTTAACTTTTCCTGTCTAGAATTAATCTCCCCTTTCTCTATGCTTCAGTCACCTTTTCACTCATATCATTGTGTTTTAAATGGCTTATTATTCAAACAGTCTGCCTTTTCTGTTTACCCAAAGGTAGTGAGTAAATTTGGCAATCTTTGACTCCCCAGAGTCGTACACAGTGCCTGGTAGATATTAATGGATAATTGCTGAATAGAGAATAAATTCTAGATTGATACACATATTCTGTGTAACATAGCCTATACTGTGGTTCTGTTCTTTATTGATATATAAATATTGATATATTTATATATTTCTCCATGAAAAAGAAAGCTCTCCTGCCTCCAATCTCAATCTAAACAAGGAACATTTGTGACATGTTTTTCCCCCTTTCTGGTGTAATCTCTAGTTGGTGGCAATTTTTGTCCAGAAATAGCTTTTTCATCCCCGGTACAATCGTAGAGGAGTCGCCCATGCCAGGGGTGATAGCACACAAAACGAATGTGATTTCCACCCTCCCTGCTGAAGCTTATTCTAAAATCCAGGGACTCCATGTCCCAATTAAGTTTAAAGGAGTCATTGTGGGATGACTGAGCCTGGCTTGCGAGTAGCCTGAGACCCAGCCGGATGTACAGAGGAATCAAAACGTGGCAGAGCCCTTTTCCAAGAAATTAAGCTGTCTAATTATGACTCACCTGAAGTGTCTTCAGTCCAGTCTGCTCAATTATGGCTAGGATTGCAGGGTGAGTAAAGCACCTAAGCCATTGTCTTTGAGAACTAGGGTTTTCAGCATGGGAGAAACGAGTAACAGAAACAAAACAGAAAATACTAATTCAAATTACAAGTATCAATATGGATCGTGTTAATTCATGACAGATCTTATCTTTTTAAAAAAGGAACAGGCTTCCTAAATTTCACTAAAATGATCTAGAAATAAAGCAAGAAGCAGTGTGCTCCCTTTGCACCCATGGCTTTGGAAATACAGCCCATTGCAGCTGCAGAACAGGAACTGAACACGATCATGCTAGAGTGTCTTTACTCTATTTACAGATTAAATAGCAAGGATGCTGTCAGGGCAACTGCAGGTGTGTCAACAGGACTCAGGAGCCAACTTTATTTATTTTTTTTTGTGCTGGTGGTATTACTTTATTAAGCTTTGCATTAGAATTCATCTTATAATATTGGCTTAAATTCTTCAGTCATTTCCCCCCCCCTTTTTTTTCTTCCATTTATTTTTATTTGTTGGAGGCTAATTACTTTACAACATTGCAGTGGTTTTTGTCATACATTGAAATGAATTAGCCATGGATTTACATGTATTCCCCATCCCGGTCCCCCCTCCCACCTCCCTCTCCACCC